AAGTAAAATGAAATGATTATCAACTTAAATCTTTTCCCCATCTATCACGATGTTCCTTATCAGTCTAATAGTGGGGATTTTTGTCTTTTTTTGTATTGAGATGCAATCTATATTGAAGGTTGTATCCTTTGAACTTCTGTGGCAGGGATTTTAAATCTTCCTCACTTTTAACAAGTAAGATTGTTTCATCTACATAAAGCTGGTGTTGATGAGTCTTCCTCCTATCCTGATGCCATATTCTTCTTCATAGAGTCTAGCTTCTTGAATGATCTGTTCATCAAACAGATTGAATAGATGTGGAGAAAGGATAAAACCCTGACACACTTCTACTAATTACTGGGTCTTAAAATTCATTGCCAGTTACTTACTTTACTTTACTCACAGCTGTGAGGGTTATTAGGGAAATATGATGGGGCATAGTATTGGCAAAGGATATCACACAGTGAAAGTCCAGGTTTTGTAAACAGAAGTTACAAGCCAGATTAACAGCAAGACACAATTCCATAATTAGCTTAGACAGCTTCTCAGTCCACAATTGAAAGCCCAGGTTCAGTCCAGCAACACAAATGCAAGAAGCTTCTGGTTTCCTCAGTTGTCCAGAAAGATTTGTTGCATAGCAATCACAAGTCAGCTCTTCTTTCAGTTATCCAACAAGCAGAACCTTTAATTCCTGCTCCATCTCTAGGACTCTGTCAGAGTGAACCTCATCATAGTCTTTTTACAGTTTGGTTAGTTCTCTCTTATGTTTTTCTAACAGATGTTGATGTTGAAGACACTGATCAAAGGCAAACTATGTTTTACAGTAGAGACATCTGGAGACCATGACCCAAAGGGGTTAAGGCAATGGATAGAAAAGTCATTTTCAAAAGCACTAATGCCACATTTAACTTTTTGGAGAATTTCGTTTTCACAGTGTGTGTGTTTGCCCACTGGAAACATGGGTTGGACCGACCCATAGCTGACCCTCCAGTAAGTTTTCAGAGGCAGTAAATCACACAGGAGGAGACGGCCCATTCTCACATTGAACATCTGCTGGATTCAAACTGCATGTCTTTGATATAGCAGTGCAGCTTCTTACCACTAGGCTACCACGGCTCCCTTTCCACAGTAGCTACTGCATTTTACATGCCAGGTGGCAGTGCATTAGTTTCAGTTTTTCCACATTTTTACCTGCCCTTAATATTTTGCTTTTTTAAAAAAAAAAAAACAAAAAACAAAAAACAAAAAACAAACCAACCACCAGGTTTGTCCTGGAGAGGGCAAAACCAGAGTGTTCCCTGGAGTTAAGGATTCTGGGGCTTCGTCTGACATACTTTGGGCATGTTACAAGGAGGGACTGGTCCTTGGAGAGGGACATCATGTTTGGCAGAATGGAGGGGCGGTGAAGGAGAGGAAGACCTTTGGTGAGATGGATCAATTCTGTGACTGGAGTGGTGGGAATAAGTGCATTTGAGATGGCTAGGTTGGCACAGGATAGAACAGCATTTAGAGCTCTTGTACATAGGGTCGCTGCAACAACAACAACAACAACCACCATCATAGTAATAGTTTCTTGTGGTTTTCATATATAAATTTTCTTAAGAATTAATGAGTTTGAAAGAGGCCCTGGTATTGTGTTGAGTTAACCAAAAGGCTGGTTGGTGGTTCAAAACCACTAGGCAGTGTTGTGGAAGGGTTGTGTCTTGCCTAAGATTTATAGTCTTGGAAACCTTTTGGGGTATTTCTACTGCATCCTGTGGCCACTATGAAGTGAAAACATCTAGATCACCATGGTTTTTAGGTTTGGTTTTATGGTGGTAATTTGATACTGAGTATTTTTTTATGTAGTTACTGGTGTTTTGTAGTATGTTCTTCAGAGAATATCCCTTGAAATACTTGGCCATCTTTAAATTGAGTTGTTATTTTGTTGTTTAGTTCTTTATATGTTATGGGTATTAAATACATGACATAAAAATATTCTCTCTCATTCTGTAAGTTGTCTTTTCACTTCCTTGATGGAACCCTTTGATGTATAAAATTTTCAATTTATATAAAATTTAAGTTATTGTTGTTCTATGCCTTTGAGTCAGCTACAACTCATGGTAATCCTATAAACACTAGCTCTGAACTCTGCTCTGTCCTGAGGCAGTCTTACTGTCTCTGACACACCTACCCTCTACTCCATTAACTGTGTCAATTCATCTCATTTTGGGTCTTTCTCTACCTCAACCTCTCCAAACATGATATCCTCCAAAGCCTGGTCCTTCTTAGCTACATGCCTGAAGTATGTAGGCAGAGTCTCAAATCCTCGACTCCAAGAAGCAGCTTGATTTCACCCTCTCCAGGAAAGACCTGTTTGTTCTCTTAGCAGTCCATTGTAATGTTCAACACTCTTCTCCAGCACAACTCAAAGGCATCAATTCTTATTCTGTCATCCTTGATCCTTGTCCAGCTCTCTGATGCACAGCAAGTTATTGTGAAGACTGTGACCTGTATCAGGTGCACCTTAGTCTCTAAATAGACATCCTTGTTCTTCAGTACTCTGGAGAGGTTCCTGATAGCAGATTGTTCTAATGTAGTTTCTCTTTAGATTTTCTGGCTGCTTGTGCCAAGAGTGTTGATTGTGTAACCAAGCAAGCCAAAATTGTTAACAATCTCAATCTTTTCTCCATCTATCCTGATACTGCCAATTGGCCCAGTGGTGAGAATCTTCGTTTTCTTAATGTTGGGCTTCAATCTGCATTTTAATTTGTTGTTCATATTTTTGGTATTATATCTAAAAATTAATTGCCAAATTCAAGATCATAAAGATTTAAGCCCATTTTTTTCTTAATAGAATATTATTCTTTTTAGCTCTTATATCTAGGTCACTTAGTTTGCTTTTATGATATGGAGTAAGGAGTCAGTTTAGTGGGAGGGGATTTTGGAATGTAGAATACATTTTCCCAGCACCTTTTGTTCAAACTATTCTTTGCCCATTGAATTGTTGGAAATTGGTTGGCTATAGCTATAAACTTATGGAAGGATATTAAGGGCCAGTGTTAGCCTACTTTTTTCCTACTGCAGCTATGATTGTGGAAGCCTGTGTTGATAGGAAGCTTCTGTCACTCTTGTCCCTGACTTACATAGTGAGCAGAGCCACTTCAACAACCATCATGGAATACATGCAGTGAGTCAAAAAGAAACTTGTGCTGTGTTAAAGACACTGAGAGTATTGAAGGCTATCTGCAATTCCTACCAATGGTATTACTTTCTATCTCAGCTCAATTTTCTATATATCTTGTGCCCTTTCCTTAAGTTCTCTCTTCCAAATCATGGAATACAATCCCCCTTTTCATTACAAAGAATACTATGGTTTGCCCTCTAAATAAAGGCCTGAATGTCTATTCTTTTTCAGATACTGAGTACTTTTCTCTGCTTCTTCTCTTCTAAGATATTCTTCTTACTGATTATTTCAGCACTATTTTTTGCTCCTTTGTAGTAAAGTTTATCATTACAATATTTATGACTAGAAATCCTAACCCTTCCTTCCTCCCTTCTTTTCTTATATGTGGATACCTTTACTCATAGGTAGAAAGTCTGGCAATTAATGAAGCTACATGAGATGAGAGCTCAAGTCTAGGCATGTCCCATTTTGGAAAGGAAATATATTGCTTCAAAGATTCATTTGAAATTGCTTATGTTATACCAGTTCTTAATTTTGTTTTCCCTGATTTTCATTATAAGATTAGAAATGTTTGGTAGGACTAGAAACGTTGCTCATCTTTTGTGTTTTCAGAGTGTGTACTATTACATGGAAAAGGTTTATATATCGAGTGAGAAACTGTTTCTTCAGGCCATCTTCCACCCTAGCCATTTTTAAATTATGTAAAGTAGGTTATAAATTTTGAGTGTAAATACCTAGGTAATTTTATATTTGGTTAAGTAATTTAAATGCCAGAAGAATACCTCAGTGCTAGTAAATGAACAGAAAGGTCCTGGAAGACTTCAAAGACCTTCACAGTTTATCATTCTCTTCTTAGTGTTTAGGGAATCCCCATCAATTTGAAAGTCATCATTTTCTGGAAATTCTTGCCTTTTCTAAATGAACAGATTGATATGAGGTGAGAGCCTAAAAAGTGATTGAAAATTAAAACAAAACTTGATACTTAAAACTTTACCAGTCATGAGCAAAGATTATATATGTTGGGAGTACATAAATAGTAAACAAAATACAAATTAATAATTGCTGAGGGTATCTGTACATTCTGAAAAGGGTGTCCTTGGTACCGTCTCCTGGGTCACTTCCCTCTTTTATAGATTCCAAAATTATATATATATATAATAATGTTTCTTCAGTCAAATGTTCAGAAAAAGACACAAAATATATACAGTTAAGATAATTCTAATAAAACAAATGCCTTCATACATTTCATTAGTGCAAGAACTAGAACAAGATCCAGTACTTTTGAAGCCCCATGGGCATCTCTATGATTTCTTCTGCTCTCTCCCCCAGCCGCCTCACTGTCCTCATTTTTGTGTAATAATTGCCTGGGTTTCCTTTTTCAGTTTTACCATATCTGTATATATCCCTAAACAAAATATATTTTTAGTTTTGCCTTTTTAAGAACATGTTACAAATAAACTCCTAAGTATGTTCATCTGTGCCTTGTTTTTCTCACTCAGCCTTTGTTTTTCAGATTTATCCATTTCAGCAGAGTTTGGGTTCATAAATCTCAGTTACTGTGCAGTTTTCCATTGTACTTATGTCCCACAACACATTTATTCATTCTACATTTTGGGACTGTTATACTTCTTTGCAGTAAAATACTTTAGGGTTTATGACTACATGTGATTTGATTTGATACAAGTTTAACTGTTTTTAAAGTTACTTATAAAAAATGATATAAGATAATCAAGATATTTTTATCTCCCTTTTATCATTGACTTGAGACAGCAATTAAAATTTGTTCTGAGCACTCTTGTCTGGTAATTTTTTATTTTTCTCATCCTAATGCCAAATGCTGTGTTTGGATTCGCAGTGCCCATGGAGAATGTTGCAACAATTGCCGATTGTGCGAGCGTGATTGAAGGCGTCAGTCGGAGCAGAAATGCCTTGTTGAATGGAGATACTAAAAATTATGATTGGGATTCTGGCTACACATGTCATCAGCTAGGAAGTGGTGCAATTGTGGTTCAGCTGGCACAGCCATATATGATTGGATCAATACGGTAAGAAGATGCATTTTCACCTGTTGCTTTTTAAATGGAAGACATATATGGATATTATTTTTAATCAAATGATTATCCTAATGACATAGGTGAAGAAATTACTCTTCTTTCCTCCACATATCCACAGAGAAATAAAAAGGTGCCAAGAGTTAGTTACAGTGTATTTGCATCATCTGGTGTGGAGGGATTAGATGAGCTGCCTTTCTGGATGTGATTTACTTCCTCTCAAATCTCAGTTTGGACTAATCAGGGGCTTAGAGGAAAATGCCAAAAGTGATTACAGAGATTGAAAAAATGTTAAACATTAACAAGTGGCTTTATATATGAACAAAATAAAATCTGACTGTGAGACCTTTTTAAAGGATCTTCGGGTAAGTTTTCCTTTTGTTTCATTTTGCTTGAAGAAGAAGACTTAACCTAGTACTGCTAAATTTATAGGATTATGTAAATTTTAAAAATTTATTTTATATTGATTTATATACAAATTTATTATACATTGTGTTTAATTCATAGTGTTTCACACATTCTTCCATTCACTTTGTACTTCATAAAATACAAATTGTATCTCATCATTGTATCTCGTAAAATTAATCACTATTGATCTATGCCCACTATTAACCCTGTCTTTATGCCCACTCTTATCCCACTCTTCAACTCTGAGTCTTAAGTAGGTCCCTCTATCCCTTCTTTATCTCTCCTTTCCTTCGTTATCTATCCTTCTCTCGCTATCTTCTTTCTTTCTTTCCTTTCAGTTTTGAGATGGACTGAAGGGCTAATGTCTGGAGTAGAAGTGTTAGTAGGAAATGGGTGTCTGCTTCACTGCTCCACCACATTTGCTTTGTTGCTTCCAATTCTTATTTCAAACAATCAACATATGTAAAGAAGGAAGGAGCGTTAAAAATCCTCCAAAATTAAGGTAGTAAAATTCTGCTAGGAAAAAGCTAACTGATGTTTGGGCTAATAACCATAGAGCTTGATGATGTTTGCTGGTTCCCTGAAGCACCTTGAAGAGATACTGGATTTCTTAAGAGTTCAGACTACGAAATTCTTCATTTAAATTATCAGCTACTTTTTAATAAAGGGTGACATCACAGGTTAAGTATCAGAGACAACATATTACAGATCAACAAGTCTTTAATTCACACTGTGGACAAGAGAACTTTGTGCTTGGGAAAGGGACCAAGCCAAACCACAATCAGTATGGATACTCTAACAGTACAACCAAACTTCCATCACATAGCAATCAATGACCTCTCATCCTTTTTCTCAGTTGCATGCTTTTAACTAACATACTCATAAGTCATCTATTTAATAAGCCATTCTGGAATTATCACAGACGTCAAACTTGTTTGTATCTTTCCTAATATACTTGATCCTTCTTTGCTTTAAAAATCTGTAAAACAATTGTTCTTCTTTTCTCACACTGCTGATAGTCTCCACAATTTCTTGAAGATTACCAGTCGTGTCTCTGAGATTACATCTGCAATTTATTTCAGCAGTCTTGGGGTGTAACTCATCTGAGCCAGGAGACTTGAAATCATTTAAATTGACTAGATTCTCTTTTGCTTTCCCTTCACCTATTTGGGGCTTCAATTTTCTCTTTATCATGTTTGTTCTGCCATTTCTAATTTGAACACCAGTCTTCTTGCCGATGAAGATTGAAAAAACTAGCAGTTCAGTAGCTCTGCCTACTGTCATTTAATGTTCCCTCTTTTCTGTCTGCTAGCTTTCCACCTCTACCATCCTCACCACCACTGCTACTCAGCGGTGTTCCAAAGGTATCTCAGCATAAGGTGACTTCCCACTACCCTGCCCCAGGCACCTCACATTATGATTCCACCACCTGTCTATTTCCTGAGCTAAAAAAAAAAGTGAATCTCAAAATTTCTTCCTTTTCCCTATCTCCCTTCCTTAAGCAAATCAGCTATAAAGGTGATGTTCAGTTGTTGTTAGGTTCCTTTGAGTCTGTTCTGGCTCATGATGACCCCGTGCACAATACAGCAAAACCCTACATGTGCCATCCCCATAGTCTCTTCTGTGCTTGAGCCCCTTTTGCTGTCTATGAGTCCATCTCGTTGAGGGTCATCCTTTTTTTTTTTTTACAACCTTTTCCTTTTCTTTTTCCAAATGTGATTTCTTTTTCCAGGCACTGACCCCTCCTGATAACTTAACCAAAGTATGTAAGACAGAGTTTCACCATCCTTGCTTCTCAGGAGCACTCTGGCATCACTTCTTCCAAAACAAATGTTATTCTTTTGGGACTTTGTGGTGTAGTCAGTGTTTTCTGCCAGCACTGCAATTCAAAGGTATCCATTTCAGTACCACCATCATTTTCTCTCAGTACCACCTGTTAAATATTTCACAAATCCATCCCTACTGACATTGCCATAGTTGCACCTTTGTGATTTCTTTTATCTAACAGATCATCTAGCCTCGAAACTGGTCCTTCCTTCCCCACTTGCAGCCTCCCTATGCTGTTTCTGCCCTTCCTAAGAGCTTAGTGGTGACTGTTTACTCTCAGGAGGATGTTCAGACTGGGGCACTGATGACTGATCTGGCAAATCTACGGAACCTAGGCTCCTCCATCTTTTGCCAGTTCTCGTGTTCCTGCTCATACATATACTCTGTCCCAACCTGTCCAGCCTCTTAAAGTTTTGAACCTGTGCCATGCTGTCCTTAACTTCCTTACCTTCAAGTCTTCAAACAGGCAGTTTTCATTCTTTTTCTCTGTCACTATTTATTCATTAGCTTGTTTTTACCAGGCTCGTTCTTCCCCTTCAGTACTTTACTCCTTCAAGTATCCTTCTCAAACTGTCCATCCTTTCTTGGACTACTTTAAACAACCTTTTTCAGTGATGTTTTTACTAAATTCCTTTCAATGCATTTCTCACACTTGGGTTATAATTATTGCTGCCTTGCCCAAACCTTTCTTTTTATATAAACCTGTGATGACTCAGAAGCAGCTTCCTGTGTCAGAGCAGATAAGGCTAGTTAGTTAGTCAGTCAGTCAGTCATTGCTACTGAGCCAGAACCAACTCGTAGCTGACCCTCCAGTGGAATTTCGGAGGCTGTAAATCACATGAGAGGAGATTGCTCGTCTTTCTCCCGAGGAGCAGCTGGTGAATTTTAACTGCTGGCCTTTGAATTGGCAGCACAGCTTACCCAGTAGGCCACTAGAATAGATAAAACTAGTTTGTCAGAATCTTATTGTTGTGTGCCTTCTCGTCAGTTGTGACTTAGGTCTACCAGAGGTGCAAGCTGGGTTTAGAAGAGGCTGTGGCACTAGGGACATCATAGCCAATGTCAGGTGGATCTTGGCTGAAAGCTGCAAGTACAAGTTTATAAGAATAGAAGGGGAAATTATAGTAGATCCAGTGGGAACCTTATGAAGTCATTGCAAAGGTGAGAATTTAGAGAAAGATGTAGACAGGCTTTTTGTATAGCAAGACTACTGTGGTTTCTGTCTCTACCGGAAGAATCAGTGGTGTTGAATCAGTCTCTAGTTTTAAGGTGTCCCTGTGGCTGAGGTAGCGGGGAGCAGGGCCCATTTGGTTTTCTTTAAATGTGGAATGAAAATGGTTCCCTGAAACAATTTTTCTTTTCCTGACTCAGAGGGGAGATGATGAGCATGAACATAACCAAAGGCAGAAATGTGTATCTGAGCACAGTATGACACATCTAACTTCCTTAAGCCTAGCTATTGTTTCTGCAGTAAGAAAATCCATGCAATTGAAGCCCTGTATAACTGGCTGAGCATTCAGAGAAACACGTCTCTGCGAATCTAACATTATGTTGTCAGGGACTGCATTTGCCTCTTCTGTGACATGATTAGGAGGAAAGGAGAGAGATTTCTTAACCACCAATGACTGTGGGCGATGCTGGAAATCTTGGCAGGCTGTGGTTAGCAGCAGCTGATGTGCCCATATAGAAGTTTATTGATAGGAAACTAGATCAGTGGCATCTCTTCAGGGGGATGAGTAATTGACCAATGACAAGTTGATTAGTCAGTGACATTTGACCCGCAGCTGCTATTGCTTGTGATGACTAACTTGCTTTCCTAGTCACTGTATCCAAAGAAGCCCAGTGATTCTGAATCAACACCTAGAGGGAGAGCATTACAGAGACGAGTTACTAACCCTTTCCCTTCTAGGATGGGGGAGATCAAGAAATCCTAGAAAATATTCTTTGCTGCCTGTCTGAGATAGTGCCTCATGCCATCCACTGGTTTCTTTTTTTTTTTTTTTTAAATTTAGGTTGTTTATTTTTCATTTCAATGAACATCTACAGAGGTTTTGGGATTCCATTCATTCATTGTTGCACCCTTCTCCCCGCACAAACCCCTCCCCCCTCCCCCCATTTGCTCCTCTCCTTGAAAAGCAAAAGAAAAACTCCCTCATTGGTACACAATCCCCCCCCCTGCCCCGCACCTCCCCAAACCCCACCCCCTAGCCCCAAATATAATCCACTGGTTTCTTAAATTCAGATTTCTTTGTGGTTAGTGACTACAAAAGCAAAGGTCTTAAACACAGATTGATTCATCTTGTTCACTGCATTCTTTATTCCTAAAATAGGGCTTAATTTTTTATATGGATAAAGATGTCCCTTATTTGTTTTGCTTTCATCAGTAGAAATGATTGTTTCCTTTCTTGAATGTTTAGCCTGTACCTGGATAAGCCAGCAAAACCTTCATTCTTGACATAAAATGCTTGGTCCTGAGCATAGTCAGCAGGATACCAACAACTCTCCTACTGTGTGGGGACCAGTGTCTTCAGGACTGAAATTTGAACATCAACTCTCTCCCTCATCACACCCCCCCAAATTTCTTTCATTCACCCAACAAATGTTTGCTGAGCCTTTACTCAGTGCTCACTGCTGTCAAGTTGGAACCGACTGGACTCGTAGCTGACCCTCCAGCAGGTTTTCCGAGACACTTAATTTGCACAAGAGGAGACTGCTCATCTTTCTTCCTAGGAGCTGCAGGTGGATTTAAACTACTTGCT